AACAATAGAACAGCACTCAAAAGAATCAAACCACATAAATAAACCTCATGGGGGTGAGGGGGTGAAAAATATTTTTAGTGCAACCTTGCTATGGCTGCAATATTCAAGGAGAAAAAAGTTGTACAAAGGGCAATAAAATTTGGACTAAATTTACCCAGAGTTGCCTGTTTTCTATTACAGGGGAAACAATATCAGTCACATTAATATGGGTGGAGCTTGGTATACACAGCCACAAGTACCTGGAAAAATATCTTCTATGAGATGTTCCCCCTTTATGATGTGTAAAATGTAAGGTGGCTGAAGAAAGCAAGCAGTTAATGTGCTAGAGCTATTAATTTCTTTCAATGAAACCAGCTCCTTAAAAGGCCTATCCAGAACCTCCATTGCATTGTCTGTATGCACCTGGTGAAGATCAGCTTTACCCCTGAAGAATGCAGGAGCCTAGACAAGCAAAAAACACAAAAGCTCAACAAAAGCAGTGTTGGTTTTCCTGAATTTGGGCCTCCAAGCTGCTAGGGGCAAATTGACTTTAAACACCTGTGAAGATTTTCACAGGTGCTCACAAAGCCAGCAGTGGCCTAGCACCAAGCCTGTGTTTCAATGGATGTACTACTGAGGGCACATCCAGATGCAGAGATATTTACTTTCCTTGTGGGCTTTGCAATTGCTTGGTGAGTGAAGCACAAACTGCTTGTATGGATCAGGGAAAATACAAAGCCTACCTTTCCACACAGTTTTTTGGCGATGCAAGGCAATAAAGAGTAAGTTTTGTCCTGACTTAGTCCCATCCTCTTTTATGCCTTGTTGATTAAACTGCTTACAAAAATAGGTGTGAAACTTCACCCATCACTGCAACCCTTCAAGCTCTGCATTGAGGGTAGATTTCCTAGTCACATAAGTTCAGTTAAAACAGAGGTAAGAGATGATAAAGAACAAAGAAAAGGGCAGCTCTCAGGAAAGGAAACCTAGTTCCTCCACAGCACCTACAAAACTGGTATCTTAGGTAGGTAACTGGTATCTTAGGAGGTATCTTAGCTCACCCATACAGCCCCTGGAGCCTGGGTCCCAGGGTGCCTGTAGAATCAGAGCCACTACCCATCCATCTCTGCTTTTAAATTTTTTTATTTCTCTCCCTTTTCCCAGCCTTTATGCTACATATTATTTGTCTGACAGTTACCACGCACTTGGCACTGTGGTAGGCAAAGGTTATTGGAATTTAAATGCAAAGTTTGATGAATATAGAATTAAAAAATGCCTTGGAGGCATTGATGAAATGAGATGCCAAATCCCAGAATTTGTATCTTTATGAGGAAATTTGAATACAAAACACCAAGGTTTATGGCTCTTGCACATATTAATTCATACCAATCCATGTTCTAAGAGGACTAAAGGGGCTATTTTTCATCTTGAGCTGAGACAGGAACTCTTCCAGTTTTACTGACTTGCTGAGAGAAATATGCTTTATCAGGCCGATACATATCTTCAAAATGTAAATCAGAACGGTGAGCTTATCACAAGACTGCCATTAGCAGCTTATAAAATTCTTGGTGTTGCAATTAACAAGAGATTTTGTGAACAAGGTGAGCATACTGGTCAGCAAAAACAGATCCTAAACTTGACACTTTATTTTCTGTCTTACAAGAAAATTACCAGGAATTAAATCAAAACAATTTTATTATACATGATCTCCTTGGCAACTAGGAATTACCATGACTTACCATCACGTGGGATGATCTAGATTTTAAAGGATATTATTATAATTGTGCCAGATCAAGAATTGCTGTATTACCTAGAATCATCCCTGGAAGTGCTCAAGTCCAGGCTGGATTGGTTTTGAGCAGCCTGGTCTAGTGAAAGGTGTCCCTTGGCAGGTAGGTTGGAACTAGATGATCTTCAAGGTCCCTTCCACCCCAAACTATTTTATGACTCTATTAGTCTATGAATTCTTACTTTATCTTTGGCCCAAGTGCTTTGTCTGGAGTGAGAAAGGAAAATCATTTGCCCAATGGAAATCCCATATTTTCTCCTTAAGAAGTCCTGTCCTTTTCTGTTGTCTCCAGTGCCCTACAGGAAGTCCTTTTGGTTTATACACTCTTCATTGCATTGTGAACTGCTCACTTCAGGATTACATTGTAGAGAAAGTCAGGGCTCGCAAGCTTGAAATAACAATGCTAATAAATGGCCACAAAGGCCAGAAATTTCCACTGTAAACAAACAATATTTACATTAGTACTTTCAAGTGCATGCAATAGCTGGAATGAGAGTAGCTGTTGCCAATTTGTCCTCTTGCTGGCAAAAGCACAGGCTGCACTCTCTGTGACTTTCATGCACACGTGCAAGCACACACAGGCAGATGATGTGCTTTCAAGCCATCCACAGATGGCTTCCCCATCAGGGCTTGCTTTGCCATTTAGGCCTCCTGCTTCACATCCTCCTCTTGGTGCTTCAATCCCTATTTTATGTAATTAACTTCTGTTCCTCCCCCCATTTTTACTTTTTTTTCCCGTGAATGCTCTTTACTCTGATGCTTAGAGTCAACCATCTCCCCAAAGCACTGTGATATTTACCAGCATCCGGAAAAAATGTGGTTAGAGAATTGAGACACTTAAAGGAGACACGGCTGTCGTAAGTGTGCATTCACATTTCTGAATAGATATTCAGAGGGTGGGAATGTAGATGAGGGAGAAGCTATGAAAGGGCTTATTACTAATTAACTATATCTATTTCTCCCCCTTTTAAACTGCTTTTTGTTTATCATTTCAGCTGGTAGGGTAATACACTAAATTAAAGCTGCATAATACATTTATAATTAAGATTGAAAAAGCCAATTGCCTGTTACTAAACCACCAATTGATAATATTGTAAGGGATATTTATAGCTCTTTGGTATGTATGCCATAGATTTGCATCAATAACATACTTGCTTATCTCCAAACATTTTATTCAGTAGCCCTTTATTTACTATTGAAGGTAAGATTACTCTTCTCAAGCCATCCTTTCTAAAAGTGTCTCGCTTTCATCTTGTTTGTAAAGCTCAGCAAACACAGATGCTTCAGTCATTTCCTCTGCTATGAAATAGTAATAACAGTATATAATTACCATCATCACACCATGCAGAAAGCCTTGCCATAAAGAACACACTCTACATAGTTCAGCACTCCTAACATCTTGAATTTCTACAGCTCCTTCTTTCTGACTCATCTTGCATATCCTAAAGAGGAGATACCAATCCACCTTACCCAGGGCATGAATCAAGAAGTTTTGGGCAGAGCCCCAAACACAGAGCCTTGGTTTTCATTCCTTTCACAAGAAGGTAGAGCAAGACTGTTTAAAGAGCTCTTAAGAAAATGCTGAAGTGATAGTTTTTGTTTCATGTGTCTTACTGGGAGTTTAATAACTTGAAACATGTGCCAAAAAACTGCTAAGTGTATGAGCACCTGCATGTTGAGAAAGGATAAGGCATAGACCAAACAGTGCTGCAAGTTTATATGGTGATTGAAGGTTAAAGAGAGGCAAAATGGCCACATTCAAAAGGAGAGCCTGAATTGTGCCTGTAGCTAGTGCCACAGGGGAGGGTCTTGGAGACTGGTGCACACCATCCTAGCAAAAAAGCCTGGGAGAGCCCTTACAAAAATATAGATTTTTGTCTACCTGCCCCTTTCCTCAGAAGGAGAATGAGGGCTAGAAATGAATGATCTACCCATTCTTCATCCATCCTGGATAGCAGGATAAACAGAAAGAAAGCAAGTTTCCCTATATCTGCTCGTCTGGGAAGAATGTCAGCAAACCTGTGTAAGTAAATATTCCCAAACCTGAAGCAGGGCTTCAACTTCTCCCAGCCACAACTGTCTCTCCAAGCCAGCCCAATCATGAGGTTTTTTTATCCTTCAAAGACGCATCCTTGCAGTTTAAGCTGGAAAAGTGTGTGAGAGACTGGAAAAAAGGGAGATCATGGTGCAAGGAGGAATTGACAGGGTGCAAGGGAGGGCTATGAAAATGGGCAAGAGCTTCATTGTCACAACAATAGTAGGGGATGCAGTATGAAAGGATGTAGTTGTCAAAAAGCTTGCCAGGGGCCTAAGGTATCACAGTCTCCCCCTGGATCCCTTCTCTTTGGAGCTAGATGCTGTCACCCTTTCCATGGTTTGGCTGAGCACAGGGTGAAACCAGGTGGCAATTACACAAGTGGTTTCTGTTTCTAATGCTGTCTATCATTAATTTTATTATGAGTTTGCAAGTGACTTGCCCCCAGACTGTCCAGATAATTACATGGTCATTATTAACCATATTACTGAAGGGTAAAAATGCAGTTATTTTTATCCATAAAGTCAGCTGCTTCAACTCTAAAACTAATTGCACATTATTATGCAACAGAAAGTAATTATTATAGATACTGATTCTAGCTTCTATACCCAAAGAAGCACACACTATTTCAAATGAAATCTTTCAGGATTTTTAATAAGCCTTGCAATCTGTGGTAGAAGAAAGAAAGAGAGAAAAAGAAAGAAAGAGAAAGAAAGAGAGAGAAAGAGGAGGAAAGAGAAAGAGAGAGAGAAAGAGAGAGGAAGAAAGAAAGAGAGAAAGAGAGAAAGAGAAAGAAAGAGAGAAAGAAAGAGAGAAAGAAAGAGAGAAAGAGAGAAAGAAAGAGAGAAAGAAAGAAAGAAGAGAGAAAGAGAGAAAGAGAGAAAGAGAGAAAGAAAGAAAGAAAGAAAGAAAGAAAGAAAGAAAGAAAGAAAGAAAGAAAGAAAGAAAGAAAGAAAGAAAGAAAGAAAGAAAGAAAGAAAGAAAGAAAAGAAAGAAAAGAAAGAAAGGAAGATTTTATAATGTTTTTATTACCATAACTGTCCCATCCTGGAGGTCTGATGCCTTTAATTGTGACTCCTGAGAGGAGGCATCACAAAGTCTCTCTGGAGGTAGATGTTAGGCAAAGCATAAGAAAGGTATCATAATTATTATATCATAATTGCTGATGTCCCTTTTCACTCTTTTCATCTCTTTCAGGTACTGTAGCGTGATTTACAATGGAAAAATTGCTCTGCGGCATCCTGGTGTTTGGAATGGCTGTCACAGTCAATGCTTGTCCCAAATATTGTGTCTGTCAGAACCTGTCTGAGTCACTGGGGACTTTGTGTCCCTCCAAGGGTCTCCTTTTTGTACCGCTAGACATAGACCGAAGGACTGTTGAACTCCGTCTTGGGGGCAACTTTATTATCAATATCAGCCGACAAGATTTTGCCAATATGTCTGGACTTGTTGACCTTACTTTGTCCAGAAACACCATTAGTTACATACAGCCCTACTCCTTCACCGACTTGGAGAGCCTTCGATCTTTACATCTGGATAGCAACAGGTTGCCTGAGATTGAAGAGGATACTTTAAGAGGTTTAATTAACCTTCAGCATTTGATTTTAAACAACAACCAGCTAAGCAGCATTTCTGATGAAGCCTTTGAGGATTTTTTACTGACTTTGGAAGACTTAGACCTTTCCTACAATAACCTCCGAAGCATTCCCTGGGAATCTATAAGAAAGATGATAAACTTGCACCAGCTCAGTTTAGATCACAACCTAATAGATTATATAACAGAGGGGACATTTGCAGATCTTCAGAAATTGGCCAGATTGGATCTAACATCCAACAGACTTCAGAAGCTCCCCCCTGACCCTATATTTGCCAGATCACAAGTAATTCCATTGGTTGTTACCCCTTTTTCACCACCTCTGTCCCTCAGCTTTGGGGGAAATCCACTGCATTGCAACTGTGAGCTGCTGTGGTTAAGGCGGCTTGACAGAGACGACGACATGGAAACTTGTGCTTCTCCTCCAAGTCTAAAGGGAAGGTACTTCTGGTACGTACGGGAAGAGGAGTTTGTTTGTGAGCCTCCTCTTATTACACAACATACTCACAAGCTGCTGGTTTTGGAGGGGCAAACTGCCACGCTGAAGTGCAAAGCCATTGGGGACCCCAGCCCCATCATTCACTGGGTGGCCCCTGACGACCGTCTCATCGGAAACTCCTCGAGGACAGCTGTCTATGACAATGGCACCCTAGATATCCACATCACCACCTCCAAGGACTACGGGACTTTCACCTGCATAGCAGCCAATGCTGCAGGAGAGTCCACTGCAACCATTGAGCTCTCAATTGTCCAGCTCCCCCATCTCAGCAACGGCACAGGCAAAGCAGCTCCACCGAAATCCAGGCTCTCGGACATCACCAGCTCCACCAAGACCAATCGTGGTGAAACAAAAGGTCCACCAGAAAGGGCTGTCCTGGTGTCAGATGTGACCACTACCTCAGCTTTGGTCAAGTGGACAGTCAGCAAGTCGGCCCCTCGGGTAAAAATGTACCAGCTGCAGTATAACTGCTCAGATGATGAAGTCCTGATCTACAGGTAAATGCATTTTTTGTTTGATACTCTGATGATGTCAGGGGGCAGAAATCAACATAAGAAATCTTCTACTCTTTGACTTTTTACCAGTATGACTTAGAACTGACATGGCACTGTGACCAGTAGCATTAGTGGTATTTGATAAATTTGCATTCTCTCTGTCAGTTTGCCTGTTGGTCTGTTCATTGCTTTTCTGTCCAAGTTACACATTGTAAATCTCTGAAGTACTCATTTTCCAACAGCTGTTTCCAGTAAAATTTTCAATTTGGGAAAAAATAGTCCTGCGGTTGGTAGCCTCCTTAGCAGGCTTAACAAAGAAATGAAAACTTGAAGACTAGAAGTCAGAAATTTCCCTTTCCACCTCCTGTAGGTGGGATTGAAACAGACTAAGAGAGGAAGCAGCGTGGGAGGAAGTTTGTGCTGTCTACCCATAACACAGGCTCTAATTATTCTGTGATTCAAGATTTGGGGTTGCTAACAAGACATTTTTCACCTATATGAAAAAGCTTGTTTCTTATTTCACTAACATCTGTTCTACGCAACCGTAATCTTAGTTTTTTTATACAATATTAAATGCAAGAAGAGGTAGATATAATTTCAAAAGCAAACCCTGAGTCTTCTTTATGATCCTCCAGTTCCAAAACTGCTCTGACTTCTAATGATGTAAAGCATGAATTGGTCTTGCAGTGAAGCAACAATAAATTTTTAGTGACTAAAAATACGTAGGAACAGTACAGGAGAACAGTACTACTGTTTTTTCCTTGAGTATTGGAAGAATGATTGACATATTCATGCTAGTGATGAATCCCTAGAAACCACCTTGTCCTTCCTTTTTATTGCAAAGTTTCATTGACATGAACTGTATCTTTGGTTATATATGATCTACTAGAGGAAGTCAGAGTCTCATGGAAAAAATAGAACCAAACATATCAACTCTTATAGCTTTATAAGCATCCTGAAGCAGTGGAGAAAAATTGGATTTGATAGAGATATAATGGGATTTGGGGTTTGAATCTAATTTGAGAATAAACTGTGGCTAAAATATAGTCGAGGGCATGGATTTTCATGGTAGGTTTGGTGTTATTGCCTGGTGGCTGTTCTGTTCTGCTGCCTGCAGGGAGAGCCAAGGCACTCATCAAGTCATGGTACTTGGCCTCAAGATACCACAACAAGCCTTATTATTTTCTTCTTTATCACAGGGTGGTTTTCCTTAGCATGAGGAAGTCAAAGGAGAGGTAGTAAACATTCACATTACATATTTCCCTCACCCTTCTCCTGCAATGAAATCAGATTTTAAAGATTCTCCAGAACGTTTAGTTGACGTGGACAAAATTTTGTGCCAACAGTACCTTTATCTGAGTCAGTTGTAGAACAGAAATAATAAAGTAATCAATTTGGGTATTCCAAATTCACTCAATCATTGCCAAAAGCAGGAATACTGACCAGCAAATCAAAAAAAAAAAAAAAAAATTAAAGGATATTTATTCAAACACTGAGTTAATCTGAGGAAATTCAGTTCTGTCCATCTCCATTCCTCAGTTATAAAAATATCTTGAAATAAATCAATTAGAAAGTGAAAATTTTTTCTTTTGTTCTGGCTAATGTACAGTGGAACCAGTGTGTTAGCTTTGGGAATTGCAACTATGTAAAATTAAGCAGAATGAAAGGATAAGATAAAGTTAAGTAATGATGCAGTATTAGGAATAGAATGGAAGAAGAGAACATGCTAGTGCAATTTTTTCCACAAGGCAATGCTTTTGGCAAAAGCTCAGTAGTAATTAAGCTCTTAAACACAGTGTAAGGCTGAAAAACACTCTGAAAGATGTATAAATCATATATTCATTGTAAAATTAATTTGGCCCAGTGAACAGGAATATTCCTGCAACCAGAAAGAGAAGTTTGCAGGGGTTGTCATATATTGAAAATGGTTGGATGTGTCAATATGCTAGGGAGGATATGGCCAGGGATAAAAAAAAAAACAATCCATGCAAAAGCACTGACATGTAGCCTAGGAGCTGGATGGGTGAGAATTAGGTGCCACGGGCAGAAATTAAGAAAGATGCCATCTTGCCAAACTGGTCTGGAAGAAAAAGTTGCTGTCAAGATTTTAGGCAACCCCAAAAGTTTTTTTATGTCCCCACTTCCATCTCCCAGTGAGGTTTTGAACCTCTGGTGCTTTATTTTGTTGTGGCTCAGTTTTTCAGAAGCTCAGTGAGGACAGTATTCATCTCCCATCAGGCCTTTTTTTGAGGATTCACTGACGATGCATAGCTATTTTCATTCACAGCTCTCAAAAGCACTTCACCAAAGAAAACAATTTTTTTTTTTTTCTCTACATTTTGCACCAGGGAAAAATGAAGCCTAGAAAGATGAAGTGATTGTCCAGTATTTGAGAGTTAATCAATGGTACTCATAATATCAAAACCAGTTCTTACAACTTCCAGTCAGGGAACCACTCAGTCCCTTAGAGTTAATTAACTAAAGCTGTTTTACTTTAATTGGTCAGATGCGTATCACTGCAATGAGTGTGTGGAAAAACCTAAGGGAAAAGGATTTCTACAGTGCTCTGCTCCATAAAATGCTGTATATGTGCTAAATGGGATGTGGTACTGCTTAGCTGCTAAAATGAAGGGCACTTAATGTACAGCAAGACAGTCAGTATTCCAGGACTGAGACACATCAGCTGTGCTCAGCTTCACTAGCAAGAAATGTATGCACAAAAGACAGAAATCTGCTGCTCTCTCTGCTAAGAATTTTTCGTGAATATTGGACTCATTGTGACAGAGTGAAAGCAGAAGTTCTCCCCTCCTCTTTTTTGTCAACTTCTCTCCTGATCATTACCCAGGACACCAGTCCCATTTCCCCTTCCATGCCAGCTGTGATTTTCCCCTGGCAGGATGGTGCAAAAGGGGACTACAGTAGGGTGCAATGGCTCAATAAATATTCAAGTTTTGGTACATTCTGGCAAATGTTGTCTGCTGGGCCTCCCATTGTCACTGAGCTGAAATGGTACCAGCATCTGAAGTTTGGCTTTAAATAAACCAATGCTATTATAATGAAGGAGGAGCACCGTTTGCTTGCTTTCCCATCTGACCTTCCCTTGTATTTGTTATCTCAGGGCCTTTGCTCAAGCTCATAGCAGGTTTTTTTCTCTTTCAATGCATTCAGGGTACATGTTTCTGATTGTGGTCTAATGAGTAGGTCCTGGATCTGCATTCTGAGGGTTTTAATGAAGCAGTCTTTCCATTCTTTCATCTTTTCTGTAATACCAACACCAGTGCTAGTAAATGTGTATTGTACCCATCACTTTTAGCCGAGACCAGAAGCTTGTTACAAATTGCAGAACTGAAAATCACTCCTTATTTGAAGGGAAAACATGCAGGAAGAGTAAGCAATGTCCAATAGAGAAAGAGATGGAATAAGACCAAAGTCTACCAAAAAATGTCTGTCCTTGGACTCAGGGTTAAAGGAGTGAACACTAGGAAACCTCCTCTGTCATAAAGATCTTACCTACTCCTCTCAGTCAGGACTCCAAAGTGTTCTAGATGTGTAAAAGCATCAGACTTAAGATCAGTGCAACATATCCACTGGTAAGCTTAATTCATTTTGAATAAGGAATTGAAATGAAATATAAATGTTTAGGAAATAATACCTTTGAGTCTCAGTTTCCCATCTGTAACCTGGGTGACAGCACCACCTTACTTCATGGGGATAAACACATTAGAAAATATTATGGAACAGGGGCCCACATAAATAAACAGGGAGACTTGCTTTGAAGTCATTGTGTGGTCTGCAGCAACAGGGATAGTCATGAATGATTAAGATGGAGGATTACATAACTGCAACACTTGAATTCAAGTAAGGCATCTGGAGAGAGAGATTGTGTTTTTCTCATGCATAGAGCACCCTACATGATGGGGGACCAAGTCTCAGTTTTGGCCGGCAGGCATTGCTGTAATAGATACATTCACTACTTTTTCAAAAGCGAATAAATCTGCAAGTGTTTTGTAGAACTTCCCAGGTCATACTGAGCCTTCTGGCTGTGTTTTGAATTAAAGCAAAGATGCAGCCATTTAAAAATGTGCATCTGAAGTGCGACACTGCCGTTAGATTTATGAGAGATTTAGGTCTGTTTTATTTTGTGGTATTTCATAGTAAAAGTGATGAAAACAGCTGTACAAATTAAGAATTACTGTAGCGCTATAGTCTCCCTAACTTATAAATTCAGCACTAGGGAAAAGTATTTTATATGTTTCTGAAAGCTTATTTTTTAAATATATATTTTACGTAGCAGGCAGTCTAAGCATTAAAATATGAATAAATGGCTCCACATCTCCAGTTTATTTAAACAATGGTGCCATGGATTTGATTACTTAAACAATATAATAATGATTTATATTTACACAGGTCCTTTTACTGCAAGTACTTTACAGGGTGGCTGAACAGAGATCCCCACTATCCTGTCGCCTCTCAGTTAAATATTGGCTGCAGTTTAGCAGTCTGCAGGTGATTGTTCAGTTCTTTTTCATGAGCAAAAAATAGCTTCAGCATTTGCACTCATGGATTCTTTAAGCTAGGGAGGAAGTAATTAACTGAGCTTGAATTTCCCACAGCATGGTGGTATAAATATACTCATGCACTCTTCTAGTCAACTGCATGTCAATAAGAAAGTGCTTCATGACTGAAGTGCTGCAAACTTCAGGAACATCTAATTCATGTAAGGAGGCTCTCTCAAACAGCAGTGCCACACTGAGCATTAGAGAGGATGCCATTTGTAATGCTTCTTGCAAGGAAAGTCCATTGTGGGGAGATCTTCCAGCTCAAGATTGAAAACAGAGGAAGCCCTGTCCTGTTGCTGGTGGGGAAAATTGTCTCAACAGCCTGATGCTGTAGCAAAGTGTGTTTGTGTCACTTTCTCTCTGAGGAAAGTTAGAAATACAGAGTACTGGTTAGCTTTGGAAAAGACAGAGGATTCATTTATTCTGAAAGACCCAAACATCTGT